TGACTGTTTCCTCACAAACATCCTGCACACCTGCAAGAGCTAAATCAACACAAATGACCACTTATTTTCCTTCCTCTAGATAAGTAACATTTGTCTGATTTCTGAAATTTGTAATTTTGAGTAAATACAGCATTTTGGAGAGGATTTACTTATCCTATTTAAAACCTATTTAAAGTGTCAGACTAACAAATATCCCGCTCTTCTCATTGCTGGGCTTTACTCAAGTAGTGCAAAGAACCTCTGCCAGTCTTACAAGAGGAAGTTATAAATACGTACCATGGAGATGTTGAGCCAAAACCTGTCCTGACAAGGTCTATAGTCTTAAACTACCCTTTTCTACAAGGTAATAGTTAGACAGCTCTCCCCTGCTTAGTTGCAGCACTGGTTCAGTTTGATCTTTACAGGAAAGCTGCAAGTTTTCAGTGACTTCTAAAATATTGACACATCTTGATTCCATTTAATCTCTTTTCCAAATACTTTCCCCTATGCTGTGAAAACTTTAACATAAAAATGCACTGATAACCAGCTTACTGTCCTTCTAGAAAGGGCCACCCCACTGAACCTAGAACACAGAACATGGCAGGTAATCACTATCTTAGTGCAACACTGACAGGATCAGTCTGGGAAACACCCGTGGCTGTAGCTGAAAAGGAGCCAGGACAGCTCAGCACCATCTCCCCAATCCCTGTCAAAGGCCATTCTGACCATCTCAATTGTCCTCTGTGTATTCCATTAACAAATACACTCATAAAAAGATTAACTGAAAGGTCTGTGGGCCATGAAACACTCCAGTGTGACAAGTGTGGCAGATGTGTCACCACATAGTGATTGTGCAAACCGTGACTACCAGTGACTGTTTCCCTGTTCCCTATTCCCCAAACACTCTCTATGACATGTTGTGTGGTGTCTTGTGAAAAAGTGGGATGCTTGTATTCATGCTGTAAGTGGGCAAAATCATTCATTTCTGTATGGTTCTGTGTCTCTCTGGTATTATAACAAATAGCCACAACTCAACTGCATACAAAGGGGCAATGATGTCACAGAAGCCCATGTGATTGAAAACTTGGCCCTTAATTTCTCTCTGACCTCACACTTAAGTTTTCAAGGTTCATGACTAATTTAAATTTTACTGGAAATGGTGCTAAACTAGTACATGGGGTGCTTTAATATATTTTAGTTCTCTGTATTTCCATGCTATTTGAAATCGTGTGAAGTATATTATTAAAAAACACATCAAAAATCACGGTACTGTGACCACCTGCTGTTAGACAATGTGAAAACACTGTGCTAGTGAACATTGAAACTATTACATTTTTACTTCTATATAGCCCGTTTTATTACACGGGAAGTCAGTCTGTCAAAATGTATCCACTTGTACCATCCAAGCTTTGCTATACAAGACCATTGAGACTTGTGGTGAAGTAGGCTATATAGTGCAATATATGCGTTGTGTACAGGGGAAATAATCATCTTCTTTTAGAAGTTGCACCACAGAAACATGATACTTGGGGGTGGGAATTAAGCCTGCATACTAAGTGTAGTAAACAGATTTAGTATAGCAGTTTGCTAGTACTGCTCTTTTAGTAGAATGCTTTATTAGATTTTAAAATGTTGCACTACTCTTTCCATGCTGAGCATGCCTTTTCAGTTTCTAACATAAAATGCAATTGTCTCCATGTTATGCCATTCTCATTTTTGTTCAATGAGCCTGATGATGTACATGTATACAATAAAAACTGCCACACTGACTACAACTTCTGTACATTAATACTGTGGATGTATAAGCAGGTGCTGCAGGAACATCAGCTGGGTAAACTTCACATTAACTTGACTAAATGAGAAAGGGTGCTCTTGAAACTATTTTATTAAAAGCATGTAAGTTTAAGGCTATTTCCTCAGAAAGGGAAGTTTGTCCTGTATGACAAAATGCCCACTATACTTGAACTCAGACCAGCTAGGTTATCATAAATATGTTAATCCTAGACTCTTAAAACTGCTTAAGAATTTTTTGACCCTTGCTGCTCTTCCCTCAAATCAACATTTTAAATACATGGAGGTTGTATAAAACACCCTGCTTTTCAGCTTATGCTTAGGTTTTTTCTATTAAGCAGGTTGGCCACAGTGTTAATAGTGGCAAAATCTACTGGCACTTGGCACTTCTATTACCAATGACCATCCTGAACACCAGTCTGTAATCTATTCAGGCTCCCCAGCACTGAAAAGACTTGGTTAGATGCAGCCCTCATCAACTTCCCAAGTTGTTATTTTACAGAGAATATACAAGAGCAGAAGCATCACTGCAACTGACACAAAATCTATTTATCTTGACCCAAACAACTTCCCAAAAAGGGCACTTACCTGTAAACCACAGATGAACCAAGATCCTATTTTATGACTACATGCAGAATACCTAGAGCCGTAGCTGCCTTAATTCCAGAAATACTCACAGTACTGTAACAGCTTGTATATAACAAAAGGTCAGTCCTCAATATTCTCCATTTTCAATGCTACTGCAACTATTCTGTATATCATGCAACTTCCTGTACTATAGTATTTATACTCAAGAAGATCCCTGGAGAAACCTAATCCCCAGCCCTACTCCTGCTGCTTCCAACTCATTTACCTACACCTGCCATTCTTCATAGAGCCAAAGCCAGGCACAACTGAAACAAAACCAAACCTCAAAAATGAAGGAAGCCACTTTGCATCAGTGTGCTTGCCACAACCAGCAGCACTTTCCTGCCCACACCTTGTTCTGGGACAGCCCCAGCTCTCTCTCCTGGCCAGCCTGCCTGGCTTGTGAAAGGTAAGAAAAGATGTTATTTTCTAGAAGCACTAAGGTTACTGCACAAGCCAAGCCTTCTTAGAGAAAAGGAAACTCACAATACACACTCAGGATTGCTGGTTTCCAGGCTGGGCAGCCACGAGCTTGGAATGCCAAACAGTAAGGATGTCATATGATAAGGTGGTTTAAAAGGAGAGAGGAATCACACACCACCAATTAAACAGGTGGGGTATCACTTATAGGCCCACACAGAATATACATTCAGCTGTACTTCCACTCCGGCAGCAAAAGTATACGCTTGAAAAATAAGATGATGTTTCCTGTAACAGTTCCTTGATGCCCCAACCAAAACACAACACTATCACCGAAAGTAACTTCCACTGATCTAATCCATGTTGTAACTAAGAGTCCACACTTCCACTCCATCCACTCCCAACAGGAATTCCCACCTCAGTTGCCAAACACTCAGTAGTAATTACACTGCCTGCTGAGGATCTCAGTTTTGTTTCCCAGCCCATTCAAAGCCCTCTTACCCTCAATTTCTTATTTAGAACAATTTACAAAAAAACTTCCTTATTAACTGGTATATTTTCCATATGAGACTGTACCAGCACAGGTGGTATTAGCTAAGACAGTACATTTACCCGTAAATAAAATGTCTTTTCCGATTTTGCAGTGAATCACCATCTACTGGAGCTCCATCTATTTTTGTGAATATGGAGTCTCCAGGAACTGCAGTTGAAAAAAGCAGATACATTTAAAGTCACTGTTTCTTCCCTGCAGCAGCAACCTCTGATGAATGTCATATCCCTCCTGGAACAGTTCCCAGACAATGCATCAGCCACCTGAAACCACAGATTCTGCCAAATTGAAGGCCCAGCTACCAAAAGGTGTGTCCCCAGAACAGACAGATTTGATACGTGTAAATCATTCCAATGAACATGTGCAGGTCTCATCTTGGTTACCCAGCAGAAAGAAAGAAACCACACTTGCAGTCAAAATCTCTTTATTGATTTATTCACAGATTTGATTGCTTTATATTGGCATAGATACCAAAATCATGAGTGTAAGTTTCCACATCTATTTTCTAGACTTTAAAGACTTACCTTCAGCTTCTGCAGTACATGGACACTCTTTGCAACAACCTTTCTAACATATTTCAGCAGCAGAGGAGCCACCACTGAAGGTGCACACATCACTGGATTTAATAATACTGCAGTGTGGTCAGCCACAGGACAGTGCAGCACAGCCACTGAACTACCAAAACCATTACTGTAATTGCTCAACACTTAGTGACAGCCCAAAGAGGAGCAGCACATCCCTGAAAGCTGCACAAAATGGTTACTCATCCTAACTGTACTTGTATAGAAACAGCCAAGGCTAATTTTGGGCACAGTAAGCTGTGTTTCAGCCCGTTTGCCAATATGACATGGACTGCAGAATCTCTCATTAAAGCTCCAAATCCTAACTTTATTTAAAAATCCAGGTTAGGATCCGGTCTAAAATTAGTTTTTACTAGCTCTGCTTAATAAGCAGAAATATTACTGCTCACAAAAGGTATCAATTCTAGAAAATTAAACAGATCCATCCCACTTCAAGCAAAAACTAAAATTTTAGTCACAGCTACTCCTAGAATTCACATGTGGAATTTAGCCCCATCTTCTTCTGTCATCACAACTCAAGAGTGTTTTTCCCCTGTAAGAACAAGTTTGAAGCAGTTTAATATTGCTAAGACAGCAGACAGACATCACTGAACAGCAGGATGCGCTGAAACAATGCTTTAAGTATCGACCTCGTGTCTCCCCTGCTCCTGTAACTGCAGATTCTGCTTACTACTCACGTGCTTATTGAAAAAGACATTCCCCTTACACAGAATATTCCCGAGAAATCTGTGGATTCGGATGCCTCTAGTTTGGCTTGCAAGAGTACTGGCAACGTGACTTTTATGCTAGGAATAGTAGATTTTTTTCTGATGCATGTACACCCAAACCCAATTCCTCCTAATTACACTACTGCAGTTGGATTTATTTTTCTGACAATAAATCACGTAAAAAATGAAGCCTGGCTTAAAATAAATCACCAAACATATACCTCGACTTTAGAGAAGAAGTCGCAACAGATTAATCGCTAAGCATAAATTATCAATTCGGTATTTTTCACGATCAAAACCTCACTCCTGAAGAGCTTATTACGTACTATACACCCAGTCACATACTTTTTGGGGGAGGATCTTCAAGAACAGATACGTCTCCACATTTTCAGCTTCTGCGCTCCTGTGGAATTAAAAAAAAAAAAAAAAAATTAAAAACTGGGCTGTAATCACTTATCGGGGGCAAAAAAAGTGAAAACTGAAAGCCAAACAACCAAGAACGATGATAGAGGCAGACGGCCAGCCCCACAGCAGACTCGGTTTGTTACTTGCTACAGTCAACGACTCCTACCCACAAAAAGGTACAAGTTGTGCCAATCCGCAAGGTTCTGCTCTTCCATGCCTAGGAAGGGAGTCAGCCACAGGCGGCAGCCCCCATGGAGTCATGGATCACCTAACCCCTCCCCGCCACGTGGCAGCCGCCATTTTCCCTCCCTCCCTCATGCGGGCCCCGGTCCCTCGCCGCCTCATGACTTCCACCCGGCCGCCTTTCCCGTCACGGAACCCACCTGCTGATCGCCCCGCTTCTCTCCGCTCTTCTGCCGCGGCGGCTCCGCTGTGGAGGAGAGCGCGCCCGGTCCGCGAGCACCAGCACCGCCGGCTTCACCTTCACCTTCAGCCTCCCCCTCAGAGCCTGAGCGCCTCTCTTTCGCCTCCCGCGCCCGCCCCGCGCGCCCCCTCACCGCCAACGGCCGCCCCGCGCGCCTCCTCAACGCCAACGGCCGCCCCGCGCGCCCGCCCGCGCGGACAACCCATGGCCGCGCTACCGAACCCGCGCGCGCCGGCGGCGGTAACTGGGCATGGGCGGGGCTTCGGGCGGGGACGTGGGCGGGGCCTCTGGCGGTGGGCGGGGCCAGCCGGGCCACAACCCAGGGGCGGGGGCAACGCGCGAAATGTAAATGGCATCAATCCCTTCCCGGTCCTTCCTGAAGCTACTGACTAACACCCTCTAGGGCAAACGGATTAAGGGATCCACGGAAATGAGGCCGCAGCTACTCTCCAAAGCAGAGCCCTTCAGCCGGCCTAGACATCGGTGCTGCTTTATCTGTGTGGATACACGCGTGTGCTTGTGCTTGGTCCAGTCAAAAATGACAAAACGATCCTGCTTGTTATTTGATAACCATGGACTAAGAAGTTGTGAAAGATGTGCTAGAAAAATGAAGTCATGCCTTTAGGTGAACACCTTTTCCAGTCCGTATAAGCAAATGCTTAGTTTTCGAGATAACATCAAACTCCTACACCCTCAATTTTAATTAGTACAGGGTGGAATACAATAGAACGGAAGTGACCAGACTATTTCAATTAGTAGGGACCAACTGCCCAACCACCTCAGAGCTGACCCAAAATTAAAGCCTATTGTTTGGCATTTTCCAAATGTCTCTTAAATACTGACAGGCCTGGGGCATAAACCACCTCTCCAGGGAGCCTGTTTAGGGTCTGGTCACCTTCTATAAAGAAATGCTTCCTAATGCCAAGTCTAAATCTCCCTAATTACTGTACCTTTCAGACCACAGTATCTTATTTAACTATTATTCATCATCCTCAGCCTCAATATATGTTTTTGAAATTATCACCCTTACTTTGTCTTAAACACCTCCTCCATTCAGGTTTCCCTAGTCCTTGGTTTCAGCTGTGGATTGCCCTCCTCTTCCCAGGATTTGTCCTTTGATGCTGTCTATTCTGCTTTCTTCATCGATGTGGTGCACAGAGACAAACAAAACCCAGTGTCTTTTGCCTTTGAGCTCTAAGAATTTGGTGATCTGAAGAACTAAAAAGAAACATTAAATGAAAGCAGATAAACTGGAGAGAGAGGCCAAGCAGGTATTATTTGCAGCAAGGATCTCTTCCCTTTGCTTACTACCTGTTATTACTTTATCATTTCACTTCTATTACTCTTAATAGATTATGGAGATGGGTATTATATAAGAAGCTCAGACTACTTAATTATAGGTTGCATCTTATCTCTATAGTGAATGGAGTATTTTGTTAACGTAGGTTTCCCATTTTCCGCACTCCTATGCTACTAAGATACTAAGCAGCTTGCTAAATACATTCTTCTATTCTGAATGTATTGGTAACAGTGAATTTTCCTTTAGACATTCATACCATATTTTAGAGGTTTCTCCTAAGAAGGGTTTTCTCACGTCTGTGTAGGCTGACGCATTGGCACAACTACTGAATCCCCAAGGCAAGTAATTTGAATAAATTCTGGTTGTTATCTTACAAATAGCAAACTCTGGAGATGTTTCTCCAGCACACTAGCAATTTCTGGCGCAAGAAATAAAAAGTAAGCAGGAAGCAAAAGCAGTAAAACGAGCAGCTGCATAAAGCAGCAATATTCACTCACAGCAAGAGTAAGCAACATTTTTCATTTCTGAAAACATTTCATGCTGCTCCTGTGCTGCTGGATTGTGTTGTAGCTCAGTGTCAAGCTGCAATAGCTGATAACCGACCTGGAAAAGGACAACTTCTGTGAACATGAAAGGCACTTCCACGCAGCACTACATTTTCTTATCAGAGTTTATTGTTGCACTTCAAATACCATGCCACTATCAGAATAATATCTATTTTTTTATTTAAAAAAACTCTGAGAAAAATGTTTCCAGCAATTTTCATTCAATGTGAATGACAAGAGTATTACATCTATAAACATTGAAATATCTATTTAATTTCTTCCTGAGGAAGTTTCACATTTTTAAGCAATGAAAAAGGATATTCTGTACAAGATAGTCTGCAAATCATTCAAACTAATTCTTTCTGCACAAGTAGAACTGGGAAAATACCACAGTATTTTCAGGAATGTTTGCTCAAATAATTAGGTAATTGAATATCAGTCTCTGTGTTTACACCCCCCCAGTGGTCACTTTCTATTCATAACCACACACTGGTTTTTAATGGCACAGAGGTCTGCAGAAAGCAAATTTCAGAATCTGATTTAGGAAAATAAAAGGTGAAGCTCAAATAATCAAGCAGTTGTCAAAGAAATTGCTTGTGCAGTTACCTACGAGGGGAACAGAAACCATGGCTGTGTTACCAGCCACAATCAAACATCTGACTTCGACTAGCAAACAGGAATTCGTAGAAAGAAATCAGTATTTTTTTTAAGAGTAGTAATACTGATAGTCTATCTCTGGAAATCAAACACTGGTTGTAGGTAAGCTGTGAAGAGAGATGTTAAACTTTGCCAGGTAACTCATGTGGTATGACTTGCTTACTCTGCTGTACTCATGTCCATCCTATGACACGGGGAATAACTCATCTAGCTGCTGTCTGCATGCTGTGCTCAGCCTCCTCATCCTTCACCAAGCTGACTGCATGTTAAATGTCACTCTGTTTTTTAAAGGCTCCTGTTAAATATAAGAACATATTTAAGTAGAATAGCTCTGGAGAAAAGCGATGTGTCTTCATACCATCCTTTTATAACAGTGATAATCCACCCAAGGCCAAGGTCGTGCACGTGGAGGACTTATTACCCCAGTGCCTCGTGGTGACCACAGCTGGGCTGGACAATTTCCCAGGGGACAATGTGATCAATGTGCATATCCCCATCACCGCTCTGTCCTTGGCTGTCCACTCATTCCCACTCTTTTCCCAGGGAAAGAAGACAGAAAGGGAATTCTTTAAAACAAAGAGTGAACTATGAATGTGGCTGAAGGCCATTCCTCCTGCATGTAGGAGACACTCCAATCTCTGTGCAGATTGTTTTCTCACCCTGAAAATATCAGGCACTTGATAGTGCTCAAGGTTTTCCCCATTTTCTTCTATTTTCTAATTGTTCCACTGAAGAACACGGAGTAACTGAGGCAGCAGTGCACAACAGGAGCTTTGTGCAATCCCTGCGGATTTTTTAGAAATGTTTGAGTGATGTTACATCAGGTTACATCAAGGGTAAAATCAATCATGCCGGGATGAAAACCCCAGGTATTTTCTCCAGTTATTCAGTGTAGTTGTAACCAATCTATATAGATGCTTGCAGGAAGCATGAGCTGTCCATAGCATGCAGGGTACTTGCTTTTACAGATGTTCAGAATCCAGAGTATTTCTTTTATCAAGAAAGAAGTATTTTAAGACAAGTCAGCTTTTGAGACAAATCCACATGACAGTGAATATTTAAAATGAAATGAAAATTCTCATTCTAATAAATAATAAAGATGTTCATCTTAAAAAATGTCTACTCTAGTAGGTCCTCATCATTTATCATGCATATTCCCTTAGCAAAAATGTGCTGTGTAAAGAGTACTGGTATATACAGCAAATTTGTCTAGATTTTTTTCTTTACAGGCTTATCAAAACCACGTATTACATAGACAAAATCAATAAATAATAAAGATTACCAGTTAGAGGTACAGTAAGGATCTCAACATCTGTTTTCTATTGAGGGAATAACAGACTGGTTTCCATTCCATTACCTTGAAAGTTAAATCATATGATTACAGAAATGTCGTAAAACAGCACTGAGACACAGAAAGTTTTTCCACCATTTGATGCGTGTTTTTAAATATTCAGCCTAAAACAAAGTATGAAAACATTGTAAGAGCTACGGTACAAAACACTGCATTTAGTACCGTAGTTCTCTTTTGTTTTCACTACCCCTTCATGCCTTTAGAAACGCTCAGAGCCAAAGTTCAGCGGAGAAGGATTAATGCCACACTCAGCTGAAGCTGTCACTGATCTTCTTCTTCCTCAGCTTTTAATACCAAATATGTTTAAGATGTTTAGAACCAGGACCAGTATTTTCTTCTAGAAATCTGGTAGATTTTTGCAGCTGATGTAAACTGAAGGTTACTGAAAGGTGCTACAATTTTGATCAGGTTGCAGGATCTTGGAATGTAAAAAGGCAAATAAGGGAAAAAATAGTGGTGCAACTTAAGGCAATAAAAGTATGGATCTCTTTCTGCTCTTTTTAAGTTTCTCATCCATTTCAGTGCAGATACTCCTGATTCACAGCAAGCCTGTGAGTGCAGTGCCTGGATCTGGCTGCTCACAGAACTAGGAGTTTCTTCCACAGCTCCAGTTTGAGTCATAATTATTTAATACTGCTCATGAGGACTATACTACAATTTTCGTGCTTCACACGTCCAAATTAATTTCTGTTCAGATAATGGTTATGTTCTAACATTTCAGTCAGTACAAGATCAGACACTATTATGGACAGAGGTCCTTACCACACCATAAGGGTTTATTGTTACAGGATATAATCACATATTCTTACCACAGTTTTGTCTGTATGAGTTTGTTTTTTTCTACACTGCTTTTGCCTGTGGCTTCCAGAGTTTGTTCTGTGTATTTAGCTGCTGTGAACAGCTAAATCATATATATCCTATCAACTGAACTTCTCACCTGTGTTCATACACACTTTGGGTATTACCAAGCTGATTCCAAAGGCAGAAGTACACTTGGCGTTTTGTGCTACATTAACTTTTCTTACCTTATGCAACACCATAATCAAATAGTAAGAAAAACTGTCAACAGCCTAACAATGGGCTACAAAACCTACATGAGACACAATACTTTCAAACTGATATATAAAAATGTAAATATTTACCATGAAATTGGACAGGTCATGTATCTCTGACGCTTTTACCAGTTGTAAATAACTTCCACATTTGCGCACAGTAGTCCACAAGTCCACAGGCCCAGAAACGTTTG